GTTCACATGAAGAATTAGAACTAGTGAATACTCCGAGTTGCATTGTACACAGAATGAAAACTCTAACAAAATTGTACGAGCATTGGGGTGAACGCTTTAGCCAACTGTTTTTTCAGTTTTTCTTTGAGCATCGGGAGATCGCTGGCCTGTTACAAAATGCATGCTCAATTCAACGAAAAATAAAAAATGTCGGACAAAAGAGAGAGTAATTTTTGAGACTATTTTATAAAAATAAAAACAATAAAACAAGACATCTGAAATCGAATAAAAAAAATATTCTTATTCCATCAAACACCCTGAATAATTTTATTCAGAAAATATTCTGATGTATCAAGAATATTAGAAGTCGTCGCACCATCTGCACCATTGCCGAATTTGCAATCGTATAACTCCTCTCATTATATATAAAAAATAATTTAATCAGTGACTATACTCGAACCGCTCCTGTCATAAATGCGTCATACTCTCTAGAATCAATTTTAACGATTAATTCCTTTTTTGTAAAAACTCGACTTAGCCGCTTTACCGCTTCGCTACTGAATTCATTTATTCATTGTCATTGAGAATTCTTCGTGGAGAATTCATTATGGAGGCAAAAACATGGAGATATCCTGCAGGCGTGACCCAAATAAGTCAGAATTGATATTCGTGTGATGAACTGAAATGCGATAAGCGAATTAAATTAACACTGGTGTTCCCAACAAGCTTAGATAAATATTTGAGATTTTTCGGGGTCCTCTTCCGGGCTGCTGTCAGCATTTCTGACAGCTAACAGATTGATTTAAATTGACGTGATAAATTGATAGAGAAGCGCATCCAATTTTGCTATATTGTGCAGTGGCACCGGTCCAGTGACAAGCAATACGAATATACGTATATTCACCGGATATTTGAATCGTTTCGAACGCGTGACAAAGCGAAGAGGTCACCTACGGACATATGTCGAATATTTATTTCATCATTTTTAGTGATTCCATTTTTTTGGCACTTGTACCAATATCTCTATTCCAAAATTATGGAAAAACCTATCAGATGGAGTGATCAGCATTTATATTATTGGCCTCGATATTCTTGTTAAAAAAATCCGAAGGGATATTACTATATTATTATATATTTAAAAAATTAAGTTTTATGTGCAAGAATTGATATGGAAGATAAGAAAATAAATTTTTAACTGTCTACCCGCAGACATGGGAGCTTAGAGTCCTGAGACACCGCGTCCATGCGGAAGCCAATAATAATGTCAGTCTTGAATTATTTCGAGAACTGAAAGACTGCATCCCACCACATAATTTTCCTCCATGCCAGAAGCGTAATTCATTTTCACTCCCTATTCTTCAAGTCTGCTATCTTCCGTGGTGCCCACTTAAGTTATAACCTTTCCCGTTTCGTGTCGGACTGTGAATTTTTATCCTCAGGTACGCAATGGTCTGTAATTCTCCACACCCTCACTCACTTCGATATTTTCCCGTTTTTACCTCGCCATCAAAATATTGCAGTGCGTACAAGACCTTTTGCTTTTCATGAAAAGATTTCTAAAGAGGTTTTCCCTAAAAATGTTTAAATGATTTTAAAATGCTTTTTAATTGACGTTAACGTTATATTATTCAGGCAAATATTTTAATCGTGATACTGAATAAAAAACTCTACCATAATTATAATATTTGGTTTATATATTTTGGTACGTGGGTGTCGACATTCCACCGAATATGTCCAAAACTGGGAAATTCGGGCACTGAAAATATAGTCCCATTGTTCACTCCGGATGGTTTCCAAGTTTCTCGTTAACAGTTAAGTTTGTGGTTACGCCTAAGGACTACAAATCTCTAGCGTCGCGATATTTAGAGGACCCACCAGGTCGGCATCCTCTGAGATGAATTCTCAACTTCCTCGAGAAACTTCGAAAGTTCGACTTCAGCTATGTTTTGGCCGCTAGCAAGGTCAGTCAAAAAATCATCCAAAAATTATAACTGAGGTGTGCCAGAATTATATCCTAAGTATATGCATGCCGATAACGCGTTTTTCGTAGATATGTATGTGGCATATTCGGATATAATTGCAATATATATATACATGGCACTCGACGCTCATTCAAAGAAAAATGTACATGACGTGTACAGTGAGAGTCAGAAATGACTCATCTAAGTCTACTTATTCCATTTGATCGATTGCAACTGCAACAGTTGCTACAAACTCAGGAGCATCGACCACTACGAAGAAAAGGCTCCAGGGCTGGAAATTGTCCCTCGAAGATAAACAAACTGAATCAAAACTCACCAGTCATTGAACGATTGAACGATTGAATTGAAACCGATGCCGAATATAAACCCACAAGACTCTAAACCGAGCTGAATAGAAGTCGATCAGACCACATAGATGTGAATATACTTGTCAACAATGGCCCTACACAACTGGCTAACTTTCCAAACAATACCTTTTCACACTTTAAACAGACACTATCAACCAGACTATCAACTGAAGAAGCCTAAATCGCTTTCACAATGGAGACAAGAAAAAAAATACCAACAGCTGTAAATGACATCTTCATTGAAACCTTTTAAAAATGAAAAATTGCACTTTGCCTTTAAATACGAAAAAAAAAATCCAAGGGAAACAAATGATTGGATGAAAATGCAATTACAGAAATTATTTATCAGTATCAACGTTCATTATCTCAATCCCCTTGAAATTTCAATAATTTGAAAGTGGATCTGCTTTTCTACGGTGGAAGGAACGGAATGTCTGTTAAGTGTATTTTAAAATGAAATTAAATGAATAACCATGGTTAATAGGTGATATAGAATACCTGCAATTTAACCGCAATTATGTCATTAACTTTCAAACATCAACGAAATACTCTTGAATTCCTCCCTCTAAATCCGCTGTGGCGATTCAATGAAATGCTTCTCATTTCAATGGGGGATTTCAAGCACTAGCGAGCACTGAAATGTCACTTGTTCACAACAATAACCAATGGCACATCACCATAAACGAAAGCCATCGGGGATAATTCATGACTTAATACCTTACCAAGCGGACATTCAATGACTATAAAATATTACGAAATACTGAATGTTGAGTACGGAAATCATGATTTTCATTACACTGTGAAATACGTAATGGTGTATTATATCGTTAGTATGATGGTATTTTTTACACGCGTGAGGTCGAATTTTATAAGATAAGAACACTGTATTGAGGGAGCAAAAAATGAACTTTTTGAAAATAATTTTTTTCTCGCTAAACTTTCGTTCTGTGTATAGTTCTCCGCGCGTTCTAAACGATGGAAAATATTGGGATTCAATCGGATTGAAAATATGCAGATTTTCTATTCGGGAGGAATTTTTGTGATCCGTTGAAATTGATGCGCTATGCCAATGATAATTTTTATCTCCACCCCAACTGTGATTTTTTCTCCGCTGTATGAAATTTTAATTTGTCATTCATTTTTCGGCATATAATTGATGGTTTATAATGCTCGTTAAACTCCATACCTACAATATCCAGTCGGACCTCGTACACAAGTGCGAAAACTGATTAACGGTAAATGCTGTTATATATTCCCCAATGCACAACGGGATGAAACCGGCAGTAACTTGTACATGAGATACATTTGATTGCAGCAATTGCAACGTGATTTAATTGCACTGCAATGGAATCCGTTGCGGAAAATTTCGCCGCAACATTGGCATGTCCCAAACACTATTTTGCTCATGAAAAAAAAATTGTGAAACTTGGCGGAGGGATGAATAGACTCTATTTCATGTGTATCAATGTGGATAACAGTAATGTCTATAAATGTTCTCATTGATCAATAAAATTAACCAAACACGAAAAAAAAAACACTTGAATGCGACAAATAAATACAATAGCACTTGTATATTTTTCCTCCATCTGCCATTTAGCCCCGATGGCTTGAAAAGTCACATTGTAATAAAAAATTTCGCCCAAAAAATATATAATTTCCTTCCTTTGATGCGCGGAAAAAATGTCTTATGACGTAGGTACCACTGGCCCTGGATCCTCCCTTGCTTTTCAATCATCATAAAAACAGAAAACCTCAAAGAAAAATTTGATGCTGAATATGAAATATGATTTTTCCATACTCGTAAATCCATTGAGAAATAAAGAATGAGGTAAAAAGATGACAGGAAGGATGGGCGAATGCATTATAGTCTAACGGTACCCGGTGGATAGTAAACGGATTTAAGTATTCATGAGAGAGTTTCCTCCCAACATCACGCCCATTCGTAGTGGAAAAGGTCACTGTGCCTTTTAGTCTATCATGGGTTCGGGGTGGAAAAACGTCAGAACCATCCCTTCGAGGGAACCAAGTCTTACCATTCAACATAACTTATGTATACACCCGTAGCATCTTCTTACCCAACCTCTCGAAAACGAATGTTTCGCTTGAGGTAAAAAAGCACGACAAACACATCGGGTGTAGGAGGATTTAAGTGTGCGAGACAACGTCAACGAGGAAGCAGGAAGGTTACAAGGAATGCTTGCAACTTAGCAGAAACCTTCAGACGCCTCTCCTCTTTTAGGATTCAAACTAGAAAACCCTCTTCTAGGGATGCAATTGCAGAAGACCGACTCTATATCGTTCTGCCCCACCCTTTACTCTGTCATCCCTTTGCTCTTCACACTACCCCAGGAGAATAAGAGAAGAAAAAAAGAGAAAAAAAAAACCAGTGACGAGTGCCGGAAGCTCTCGTGACTCTCTGAACACCTCTTATTCAACCAGACAATCTCAATGCGCATTATTTATGCAGAAATCTTCCCTATTCCCTCAGCGAGAGACTTGTTACTCACTTCAAGTGTCGGCGAAATTACGGTAAACGGTTTTAATTCATCATTCAAGTGGTTTACATAATTCATGATTCAAGTTGAGTTTGAATGCAGTTGAATGATGGAGAGGAGTGACAGTTTGCGTGGATTATCATTCAGGATTTCTCACAGCTTCTTGGCTAACTTAGATGGTTAAATTTTTGTTGCAGATCATAAGCTACGATTCTGGAAGAGGTGGTGTTTCTGTTGTCACGGAAAAGGGAGAGACGACGACTAGTTTTTTACTTGTCCAGTATGCAACGCCGTCTGACTCTGGACAATACACATGCAATCCAAGCAATGCTCAACCAAAATCCATCACTGTGCACGTTCTCAATGGTGAGAGAAGAATAAATACCAAAATTGAGAATTCACAAACTTTAAAAAAATTCAAGCTTTTGTTTCACATGCAAATACATCGTTACATGCAAAATTTCCAATTATTTTTACCGTGCAAATAAAAACGGGTGAAGGTGCACGTCAAAGGAGACAATTATAATTGGGAATTAAATTTTGAAAAATTGATTAGTCGTGAAAACAAATGTTCAAATGAAAGGGGACAGAAATTTGTAGTGTATTCATATGTTTCAGGAGAGTATCCAGCAGCAATGCAGCACGGTGGTCAAGCTAAGCAGCCCCGATTATACTCTCTGCTGCTCTGTCTCTGTCTACTTCTGTACTAAAGAGTGTACACAGCTATTAACAATTAACAAACTAGATACTCCTCATGGTCTGTGGGCCAGAGCGAAGTACCAAGGGACTAAAACCCTTACGGTAATTAACCACTGTATAAACATATATAAATCGTACACCTTTAGCTATTTAGAGAGGAATATGAGTCAAGGCAAAATCACACTCTCGTGATGAAGTTTCAAAGGCATCCGCTACTCGGGGTAATTTGAGGATTATGAAAACCATCAAGAATAAAATTTTTATCATGCAATAACGCTCCCACAATTACACAGAGCTATCATATTATCATTCGTTGATGAGTTTTACGTTGGATCATCTTCTCCCATTAATACCTTCATTATATGCGAGAGCAATTTTTAACAACGGATTATGAGAGAACCTGTTAAAATTAGAAGATACAAGCATCATGCATCCGTAATTACAGGTATTTTTATTTCTCTATTTTACTGAGTTTTTGCTTGGAAATTGTATAAAACGTCCGGAAAGCGTTAATATGGAAGATACTCTCACGTTATTTTCAAAGAACGATATCATTCAATATAATGATAATGAACTCAATCGTAAACACCTGTTTTTTTCAATAAAACATATTGAAATATTCCTTAAAACTTCCTCTTTTTTGATTATCCCCGTAAAAAACATGAATCAAATCACGTGATATTTTTTAAAAATATTAATAAAAAAAAGTGAATGGAGCTGGCCTAATTAATGAAAATTAGCCTCATACAAATATAGTTGTGAAAAATAACATATATTGTTGTTGGAATCGGAACACTTCCGATTGCTGAATCTATGAAAACCTTCAAGCACGATTCCACTCGATTGGCCCTCAATTCATTTCTCTTCACCCTTCTATAAAAAAAAGGAAATTGGAACTATACGATACATCCGGTGCGAAGTACTTGATGATTCTAGGATGCATTATGCCCTCTTGAGTGTTAATGAGAACGATAAAATCGGCGAATTTCTTAATGAAAAATAAAGATATTGGAGTAAGAGGACTCGTTGAAATGAGAAAAAATAGATTGAATGGATGGAAAAGAGACGAAATGGCTTGCCGTCGTTTCCGCCTCAAGAATTCCGGGTTGACTGAGTTTGAAAAAGCCCCTCGAGATGGCAAGAAGTAGACTGATTGCTCTACAAAGCGGCTCGTTCTCTTGGCCATCCCATTGTTCACCTGGACAATTTTCCCGCTCATTCCGACAGAATAAGATGATGATTCAAACTGAAGGCGCGTCAGTAAAGCAAAATCACGTCGAGTGTTCTTTAATTCCAATTATTTTCTCACAAGTTAGGGGAATCATTGTTGCAATGAGAGCAGAAGCGGATGAATCTGTCCGATTTTCCTCCGGACAATCGGAGGAAAATCGGAATTCGCTCAATTTGATTTTTTTTTAAGCATAAAACAATTCATTATTTTTTTTTTTGGTCAGTTGTCTGATAACAATTTATAATATTTGAAGCATGTCGTAAAAAATAACCGAGTATATAAAATCACATCTTCCGCGTTCTATTTTTACGTGTATTTTATAGACTTGTTTACATGTGAAATCCATTCATACATGATGATTCGATAGAAGCGCAATATTTTTTTTTCC